GATGTATCCATCTTCATTTGGTGCCCGATGAAGAACGGAGAGGAACGAAGACAAAGGATCATGGACAAATTCGAATCTACTTACGATGAGCAGGTATCACTTAAACGGACTGACGAGAAGAAGGGCACATGGGATATTTTGGGACACGAGTGGAAATCAAGATGAACAGAGTGAGTAGCCTGAGTTTTCCAAAGAAATTTGAGCAGGTATGGGGGGAGGGTGAACTCACATACCGAACGTTTCAAGATTTTGACTCGTACTTAGTGATACGGCAGAAGAAAGCCGTAATCATAAGTGCACTACATTGGGTGAAACAAATGACGACATCGGAGGACTTGGTAGGCCTGGCTTTACTTACCGTAAAGAGGCAGCTCCGATTACAGGATTACCCGGCGGAGCTGTTTAACGGCTGCCTGTGGAAATTTGTGCCACAGCATGCACCGGCATGGGAAAAATGGGCAGGCCGGTTCGGAAACTGGTGAAAGGAAGTCAAGTAGGAAACAGGTAAGAGAGAGATAAGGAGAGAGAGAGAAAGAGAGAGAGTGACAGAGAGAAGGGGAGGCGATGAAGAGATGTGGAGAGAGGGGGGGAGAGGGGGAGAGAGAGAAGGGGAGGCGATGAAGGGAAGGGGACTCGGAGGCGATGGGGAGAACCGGGACGTAGAATTGGGAATAGGATTGATGAGGATTAAAATAAAGATCTTGAATTGGAACCGATGTGGTATGCAGGGGTTAACTTGGGGAGTAGTAGGTAAGATGGTACAGTGCGGTTTCGAACCCGCGATCTTTGGAAGTCGAAGGAAAAAGAAAAACCGTACCGCTGGGTGGTACTTGACAAGAGTGGAACCGGGACGGAAGCCTCTGGACCTCGGGAGTTACGATTACCGATTATGTATGGATCGGGCCATGGGTACGAGGAAAAAGGCGGGTAACAATTGGAACAAAGGGGAGGGACCGACAAAGTAGGATACGAATGGGAATCGGCGGCAGTATATATACTTTAGAATTAGTTTGTCCGAACATCTCGGAGCCCCCTGATGAAGCCGCTTCTGGCGAGTGGYCGAAACTAGTAGGGGACGCACCAGCCTTCGCGCTCTGCGRAACTTGACTTGGRTCTAYCGGTCGGGGCGGGGAGGACTGTTCCATAGCTTTGGCTATGGACCATCTGTTGACTCGGTGCTTCACTCTGTTTTGATTGAGTCTATTTTCGAGATTGTTTATCCACATGCTCAGCCGTGGTCAGCGCGGTCATGTGTTGTGTCAGTCTGTTGACGAYATCTCTTCTCTTTCATCAAGGAATCGCAGTGGCAACCTGYCGGSGGAATCTTACCYGTGCCGGGTGGCCCTGTAGCCGWAGAAGYAGRGCTGGAACTATAGGAGGTACTGGTGTTAYGAAGAGTACGGTGAASGAGCRGAGAAGCAAGGACGTGARGTTTGTGCRATCGACGAGGTATGCTGTGTGTTTGAAGACGACGACGTGGGACGGCGACAGAACGAGAAGAAAAGCATATAGGTAGTACGAAGTTGGATTGAAGCGGCTGACGAAGATGTCTGGCAACGGAAACCAGACTGGAGGAGGAGGAAATGGTGGAAACGGAGGAGGCAACGGAGGAGGAAACGGAGGAGGGAATAACAGAGGGAGAAATGGTGATGGGGGCGGGGGATGGAACGAAAACAATGGAGGCGGTCGTGGTAATTGGAACGGAGGAGGAAATTGGAACGGTAATGGTAACGGAGGAAACGGAAATGACGGGGGTTGGAATGGAAACGGAGGTGGGAATGGTGAAAATTGGAATAACAATGGCAATTGGAATGGTAATGGTGGTGGAGGGGGAATCTGGAATAACGGAGGTAACAACTGAAATAGAAATGGGGGTAGAGGAGGTGGGAATAATAACAGGAACGGGGGAGGTGGCGACTGGAAACGTTCAGCTAAGTGCTATAATTGCAACCAATACGGGCATATCAGCCGGGAGTGTAATGCACCAAGACAGTACGGAGGCAACAGAGGCGGCGGGCGTAACAACGATGGAGCCAGTAGCTCAACCGCGGCGAACGAACCAGCCCAAGGAAGTGGATGTGGAATGAGTAAGGACTTGGAGGAAACACTGTGAAGAGTATGTCTGTATTCGACCAGGCAGATGGAGAGGGAGGAGAGAGAGGAAACTGAAGGTCGGGAAAGAGAAGGAAGACGTAGGCAGGAGGAAGCCGAGAGAGCCGCACGTGAGGAGAAGA